TTGTGACTATTTTAGTGTGATGATGCTTTTATTATGAGTTGATGTTTGATTGTTTGGTTGTATGGTAGTTCTTGACACTGATTATGTTGTGCTTTGTGCAGAAAGTCGGGTTACAAATGTTTTACATAATAAAAACCAAAATTTAAAGAGGTGTTGGCTTGGCAGAAAACTCTCTCTTTCTCAACCAGAGGCATAATCTGATAGGAAGGATGTAAGATCTGTGAAGGCTAGCCTTAGAAGATGAGTGCAGTGCAGTGTAAGCTGGGGGCTGAAACTTCCTAGATCTGTGAAGGCTAGCCTTAGAAGATGAGTGCAGTGCAGTCTAAGCTGGGGGCTGAAACCTCCTAGAGTAAATGAGTAACAATTCATTTCCAGGAATTAAAAGAAAAAAAACCCCACCAGTCAAATCTCTAAAACCACTTGCCATCTACTTCCAACCACTGACACAGCAAGGAAAATAATCCAAACAACGAATAGCCTGCATTGGAGAGGGCACCCATCGTACAATCAATCTTGGGACACTTCCCAGATTGTAGTAGTTTTTCTGAATGCCAACAGGATTGGTGCTGATCCCTTCAGGTGGAGCACTATTCCAGAGAGAAGGCAAGCTTAATCACATCACGGTTAACCACGGCACATAAGTTTGTCAAGGATAAAGCCAAGGGAAACTAAATGGGTCACTTGAAGAAAAACAGAATTTCTGCCTTAAGGTATCTCTGTGTAAAGAAAGGATGTGCAAATGAATTTAAATGGGTTTCATTTTGTCCATGTCACTATTTTTCACATAGATTCCATTTTGCGTTTGTTTTTTTTTTAAAAAATGTAGAAAACCCGTATTTACTGTTGTTTGCAGCTTTCAGCAGTTGACCCACTTTTCTATGCAACTTAGCTATGTAGGCTTTTTAGTGCAAATCATTCTACCAACTTTATACTTCTTTGTGTGAATATTTGAATGGCAAGAGCACACATTCCAAGCCTCCAGTCAAAATTGGTTGTTGGTGTTATCATTTTTGTGCTATCACACACCTAGTGAAATCCATGCTGGATTCTTTTCCTTCCCTAGCTTTGACAAAGCTTTTTTTCTTCCTCCTCATCCATACCCTTTCTTTGGCTTCTTCCTTCAGTTGCCCAACATACACGGAGACAGGGCGATATTGACAGAAAGAAAACACGGTTTTCCGTTTTTCGTTGCTGAGAACAATCAGCGGGGGGGGGGAGGGAGAGACCTGTGTCTGCTGATGGTCTCTATCATTCTATAGAATCCTTTGATGATCAGAAGCTTGAAAACCATTTCACTAATGTAAATAGCTATGTCAGTTTGGGTTTTGTAATGTCTTTTCCTCTGTTTTGCTTTCTTTAATAGCTGGTGCTATCCACTCCTAATTTGATTGCTTTGTACATGGCTAATCCAAGTGTGTCATTTTGATTTGTAGGCTCGTTGTCCCAAATTATGTCATTGGAGTGTGGCAATAATTCCTGTTCTGCATCCAGATCTTCATAGGCATTTCCAGGCTTTTTGGAGGGAGGGGGGAATGTCATGAATGTGTGAAGAGAAACATCCCTAATTTTTGAAAAAAAGACTCAATACAACTTCAATTTTGCATAGATGATTAGGGAGCTTTTCATGCAATCTGTTTTTAGATGGCTACTGTAACAATGAAGAAGGCAATTTTTTGAAGTCTGCTAGCTCTCAATCACCTGGGGGGAAAAAAGTGAAAAGGCAAGTGTTATAAATGCATAAAGCATATACATTGGGGTATAAGAAAATTTAAACAGAGGGAGGGTTCACTTTCATGGAAATTGGGGGAGAGCACTAAGCCATCACCAATAGCAGGCAAAAGCTCACTGCTGCTGCTTCTCATCTGCCCATAGATCTTCTTACTATCCTCTCATGAGAAACTGGTGTATGTTATAGGGTTGAAAGGCAAAGCAAGTGGAGTTGAAACAGTTGTTCCCTTGGAAGGAAAAGCAATAGAAATGAAAAGGGAGGAAGATAATTCTTTTGGAGGGTGAGAGATTCACTTTCTTCCATGGTCCCTTAAGAAACATGGGTGATGAGAGATGGGCAGCCTTTTTCAGCATAATATTTAACGGCATTTATTTTATGAATTAAGGTACAATTAAACTAGAGGAAATAAGTTTTCTTTCTTTTAAAAGAACTCATATCATCATCATCTTCATTTCAACCAAGGTCCCAATATTTATGAAAAGCTCAAGCTGTAATTTTGCTTTGCTCAAGGAAAGACACCTGAAAGACTCCTGTTCTGCTTTTTGTCATTGCACAATCTACATCCTCCCAAACTCAAAGTTGTGAAAAGGATCCAAATACAGTTTAGCAAGTTATGCAGTCTTTGAATGCCTTCCAAGGTTTGTTGGCATTTCCACTGTAGCTCAGCAGCTGGTACCATCTTTTATATCAAATTCTATGCATTCGATCAGAAGATATTTCAACATTAAACCATTGACGTGATAAAATGACAAGGACAACATTATAGGGCTTCAATTTCCCTTGAAATTGACTACTTATTTGTATTGTGCATGAGTAGTAACTTTCAATAGCTATCTTTTCCAGAGCAAATGTTTTTTTAAAAAAATCTTTCAAGAAACTAGCATAAAGCATAATTACCATAATGTACGGCTGATCCTGTAAAGGGCTGCTCTTACAGCTCAGATGTTCATCTCCTTTTGAAAAAGTGGTAAACTGAATTTGAGGATTCTGAATACCTAAATCAAACTCTTATGTTCTATTTCTTTGGTTTGTTTGCAAGATTTCCCAGCTGCGAGAGCTTAAATAATATTGAGCAATGAATTCATCAAGCTATTAACACAATGGTGTTCTATAAGACACTTAATTAGAATCCCCTTCTTTGTTTATTAGACATAATTTACCATGAAAACCATGAAGAAATTTAGCAGAATCTGCAGTTCTGGCAGTATATTTCTGCCTTTGCTAGCAAGAATGCAAGAATACATACAATACATATATAATATACTAAAACTCTCCTATTTCATTGGGCTTAACATCGATAATAACTGTCGATAGTAATAACATTGCTACCTAACTGTAATTGATAAGACGCTGGATGTTTGCTGTGTAATGATAGAAATACCTTTCTGGATTTGAACTGACTCCAATTTCTGCTCTTCCCCCCTCTTCCTCCTCAGGAATCTTTCAGAGCAAGGGTCCCCAACCCCCAGTCCATGGACCGGTACTGGGCTGCAGCATGCCAACAATCAGTCTGCACAAACAAGCAGGCAGCACACAAAACAACGCATTCTCCAGTCCGTGGAAAAACCTTTCTCCATGGAACTGGTCCCTGGTGCACAAAAGGTTGAGGACTCTGTTTCAGAGAATGTATCCACATTTAAATACCTGATTGATCCATCTTATTTTTTTAAACAATGAACTGGCATGAATAACTCTAATTAAATTAGAGAAATGAATGCAATTCATCAGAGTCTAATCCTTTAAGGATTTGAGATTGTGGATTATGAAGTTCTGGTTCTTCCTTTCTCTAGTTTCCTCCTCCTCCTCCTTCTTTTCTTCTTCCTCTTTATTATTTGCCATGAATGTGAGGTCCATTTTTAGCAACTATGTAGATTCTCTTTGTGACAATCTGTCCCTAACCAATTCTTTAGTTCTTCCTTTTTTTTCCACAATAGCTGAAAACAATAGTAACACGCATGACATTGTATATGTAGTCCTCGACTTGCTATCACAATTGAGCCTATTTTTTTTGTTGCTAAGCAAAACAGTTGTTAACTGAGGTTGGACTCATTTGATGACCCATTTGATGACCTATCTTACCACCGTTTGTTAAGTAAATCACTGCAGGTTCAGTGAATCTGATCTGGCTTCCCCATTCACTTTGCTTGTCAAAAGGATGCAAAAGATGAATACATAACTCTGGGACACTGCAACCGTCATAAATATATACTAATTGACAAGCGTCTGAATTTTGACCAGAGGGTTGCTGCAATGGTCATTAGTGTGAAAAATGGTCATAAGTCACTTTTTTCAATGCTGTTGTAAATTCAAATGATCACTAAACAAATAGTTGTAAGTCAAGGACCCCCTGTATAGCAATATACACAGAGTACTGGACTGAACCAACCATTTATTTGTTTGTTTATGTACTAGACTTCTAGAACTGCCTATCTCATGCATTATAATGCTGAGTTACTTACAAATAACAATTAAAAAACCACCAAAGCAGCACTTCCCCAAACACATTTACTGGACTCCACCTTCACTTAACCCCAACCAGCTAGAATTTGAAGGTTTCTGGGAAGGCAAGGAGGTTAGGGGCCTGCCAAATCTCAGGGGGAAAGGTCTTCCATATTTTGATAACCTCTCTAGTTTTTGTCCCATACAGATGAAACATAAACATATAAACTGTTTGATGCAATTATCCAGATGAAATCTAATTCTGGATTAAAATATTTAATATTTGGCAATAAGACCAAATGAATGGAGGTGAGAAAGATCCTATTGGATCAGATCAAAACAGGACATGAACACAGTTGTACCATCCTGTTTGTACTATCCAGCAATTGTGGTTTTTCTTTTTCCTTGTAACACATTGAAATGATTTTGTCTGGGCATACATACCCCCTTTTATTGTTTTCTTCTATTTTAACTGTGTAAGCATCCCAGAGAAATTTTAGTTAAGTAGCCATCTAAATCTAATACAATAAATAATAAATGTAAAAACTAATATTTATCTATCACAACAGTAAAGGATGCTACCGCTAATATTAAACCTCCATAATCACAATATTGTTAATAACCATCATCATAATATTTAACTATCAGTGAAATATTAGTATTTCTTTGTATTATGTGTTTAAAATTATTGTTCAGCTTTACTTTCTATTATTAGTTTAAATATAAGTTATGTTTGTCCTAGCTGACAGATTATATCTCTATCCATCCCCTAACAGATCAGCCGTACTCATGGTCTCCAACTCAGCTGTCCTTCAGTGAGGAAAGATATTCTCCTGTTTCAAGGAACATGAAAGGATTATCTGGCGGGCGTAATCAATCACAATTATGTTCTGCGCATACTTGTGGTTTACCATCCCCTGAAGATTGTGAACACAGCCACGATCATCTTCATCATGGCCAGGAGTCAAGGCAATCGTATCTTCTCAGCCCAACTGAGAGTTGCCCAGTGGATCATCATCGCTGCTCACCACGAAGCTCCATCCATTCAGAATGTATGATGATGCCCATGGTTATGGGTGATCATATGTCCAGTAGCACTTTCCCCAGAATGCACTACACCTCACACTACGATACTAGGGACGATTGCACCATGTCTCATGCGAACACTAAGGTTAACCGGATCCCGGCAAATTTGCTGGATCAATTTGAGAAGCAACTTCCTCTCCATAGGGATGGCTTTCACACTTTGCAGTACCAAAGGACATCAACAGCAGCTGAACAACGCAGTGAAAGCCCAGGTAGAATACGTCACCTTGTTCATTCAGTCCAAAAACTGTTCACAAAATCACATTCTTTGGAAGGATCTTCCAAGAGCAATGTAAATGGGGCAAAGGGAGATGGCCGAGGTGATGACCATCATCATGGACATCATTCTAAACATAGCAAAAGAAGTAAAAGTAAAGAACGAAAGCCTGAAAGTAAGCATAAAACTGGAATGAGCAGCTGGTGGAGCTCTGATGACAACTTGGACAGTGATAGCACTTACCGAACACCTAGCGTGGTAAACAGGCATCATGTAGACCATATCTCTCATTGCTATCCTGAGGCTCTTCAGGGACATTTTGGGGATCTCTCATTAAAGACTTCAAAAAGTAACAATGATGTGAAATGTTCAGCTTGTGAAGGTCTTGCCATGACCCCTGATGGCAAGTACATGAAAAGGAGCTCTTGGTCTACCCTCACAGTAAGCCAAGCTAAAGAAGCTTATCGGAAGTCGTCTCTTAATCTAGACAAGCCTTTAGTTCATCAGGAAATAAAACCCTCCCTGAGACCATGCCATTATCTTCAGGTAAGTGTGAAATGTTGCTAATATCCTTAATTGAAGAGCAATATACTCTTTTAACATTTGCAAGACAGGATTCTATGGACGTTCTTTCCAGTAGGGTTTTTTTTTTTGTTAAATTTTGTTTAAATTCCCTATTTTTTTCCCAAGGTTCACCTACAGCTAGAAATAAAACATGAAGCAGAGATGAGAAACTGGTTTTATATAATAATAATAATAATAATAATAATAATAATAATAATAATAATAATAATAATAATAATAATAATAATAATAATAATAATAATAATAATAATAATAATAATAATAATAATAATAAAGTTGGAAGGGATCTTGGAGGTCATCTAGTCCAACCCCCTGCTCAGGCAGGAAACCCTATACCATTTTGGATAAATGGCTGTCCAGTTTCTTCTTAAAAACTTCCAGTGTTGGTGCATTCACCACTTCTGGAGGCAGGTTGTTCCACTGGTTAATTGTTCTAACTGTCAGGAAGTTTCTCCTTAGTTCTAGGTTGCTTCTCTCTTTGGTTAGCTTCCACCCATTGCTCCTTGTTCTGCCTTCAGGTGCTTTGGACAAGGAGCAACGGGTGGAAGCTAAGTTGTCCATAACAAACTTTAGGTAAAAGTAAAACATAACTATTGTCATGGAAAAACCCAGTGAAAAAGACAACGAGACAGCAACAGTTTTTTGTGAGGAAATATAATTATCCTATTGAAGCCAGTACATTTTCCTCTCTGGAGCTAGGGGAAGTTTAAATGAGGATATTTTAGAAGAGAAACAATGAGAGTTAAGCACTATTTCTTTTGATTTGCTTTCTTTTTCAGCAGCTGCAAAAAACTGCTAATATTTTTAATTATATGAGATTGCATAATGGATCACACAGGTCATACTGAAACATTGCTATTGATCTTTATGTTAGAGATAATTCATTTATTATATATTTATTTTATTTATTTATTAGATTTTGATTCCACCTTTATTACTTTATAAATAACTCAAGATGGCAAACATACATAATATACTCTTTCTTCCTCCTATTTGCTCCACAACAATAACCCTCTGAGGTAAGTTGCCCTGAGAGAGTGTGACTGGCCCAAAATTATTTTATATATTATAATTTACTTATATTTTATAAATTTATATATTATAAATTATATACATTGCATAGAGAGTAAATTAGTCTATCTTTGAAGCATTGAATCACTGAATCTTCAAAGTGTTGCCTACAATACTGCCAATTTGAACAGAAAATATGTAAATATGATCTGGAAATGGGGGAGATAATCATAGAGCCTTTGTCATGGTCAGATCATGCACTCCTTAGGATGGACTTCCGGACCGCTTCCCCTCGCCGCAGGGAGACGGAACCGCCTAGATGGTTCCGTCCCAGGCTCCTGATGGACACGGAGAGGTTTCTGATGGAGCTTGGGCCATATCCGGAGGAGCTAGGTCACGACTCGGCGGAAGATCAGGCTGCGGCCTGGGATGTGGCCGCAGCCGCAGCACTGGACCGAGTCGTGCCGCTGCGGCCTCTGACCCAACGTAGATCTCAACTAGCTCCTTGGTTTACCGAGGAGCTGAGAGAGATGAAACGCCGGAAAAGACGCCTAGAGAGCAGTTGGAGGGCTACCCGAACCGAATCCGACCGAACACAGGTAAGGATACATGTTAGATCCTACCTTGTGGCGATGAGGGTGGCGAGGTCTAATTACTACTCCACCCTCATTGCGTCATCAGAT